CTCCGGGTGCTTCAGCGAGACTGAGACAAGAAAACAAAAACCTCTTAAAAGGGGAAGCTCGAGCACCCTGTGCGTGTCCTCCCTGAGGCTTGCCGCTTGCGCCTCTCACTGCGAACAGGCAGTACTAGCAGGCGCGCGACTTTCGAACGAGTGAGACAACTTATTATTCTCAACAGGCCAAACTTAGCAATCTTCAAATAATGCAAATTTTTTGCATAAGATTCCAAATCGGAATTTTTTGAGTCGTTAATCATGGAATTATTTCAATTATTAAAGTAAGATTCGGAATATCGAATCCTATATGGTAAGTGGAATATGTCCAATGTATCTCGCAATGTTCAAATTAGAAGATTTTTTTGAACATCAAATGTATATAGGCACTGGTTTATTGGGTTTCTGATTGGAAATTATCAATCTTTACTCAAAGTTGAAGCCAATATGGTAGCTAAAAAGCTACCATAATGGCTTAGCTGAAATATGGAAATAATTTGCGTTATTTGAAGTTTGACCGGTATATTGGATTTGCCATTGTGAATTTTATAATTATGGCTGCGGATTCGTATTCAGCGATCCCCAAAATCTTAATTTATGAAAATATAAAAATATTCTAGCCCCCTGTGCTTCGGTAAAGTTTATTTCAAAAATTTTTTTATGACAGTCCATTAAGGACGCTGCCATGGTCGCCATTTTGAAGTTTTCCAAAAATGCCACATGACATTCGATTCTACATAAAATAAGCTAAATTTTGAGTATTCGAACGTTTAAAAAGGATCAAATCATTTAAGGACAGATCCATTTGCGTTTTCATATCGAATGATCCATATTCTGAAGGATTTCCCGTATAAGTGACTATCTCTTTTTATCTCTTAAACTAACAGAGATAGGCCTAATAAATGTAATATCAAGTTAAACGGCTTTGACTAAACTTTATTGTAAGTACAGTGATCACTTAAAAATATTATCTATGTTAGTGAGCGCAAAGACATGATTAATTTTTGCACGGTAAAGTGACAATTTTAATATGATAAATGTTCAATTTGGATCCTCTGATGTGGCCAACTTCCGACTCTGGCATTGACGAGAATACTATGATCAGATGAAAACATTACACGTCAACGCGAAAGTCAGAAGTTAGCCACAACGTAGGGCCGAAACTGAAAAGGTAATAGTCGCCCGCAAAACTTTAAACCAAAATAATTTGTGTAATTTGTAAGATAATGTCGTTATATCACACATCGTTGTATTCGTTAAAAAGAACGCTACAACTTTTATCTATTAAAATTATCACTTTACACTGCAAAAATTATGCATGTTTCTCCGCTCTCTAACATAGATAATGTTTGTAAGTGATCATTGATACTTACAATAAAGTTCAGTCAGAGCCGTTTAATTTGATATTATATTTATTAGGTCTATCTCACAATCAGTTAGTTTAAAAAGAGATAAAAAGAGATGGCCACTTATATGGGGATATCCTGTACACACACACGCACACGCACACGCACATATACACACACAGAGGGAGAAGGAGAAGGAGAGAGAGAGAGAGAGAGAATGTACACAAGCAATCTATTTTTGTTGTAGGCATTTTTTTTTAAACCTTATAATATAGTAATATAGACTTCAGTTTGGTCTTGCAAGCTTTTATAAGAAGGCACAGTCTATGTACATAAGTCTATAATTTTCTCACAAAAGAAAATTATTTTTACATATTATTAATAAGAAGAAACACGGCTTCTTCTCAGTTAAAAGATAATGATATTTTTACGAGAGTTAATCTTATCTTTGAGACACGTAAATATATATATACATATATATATTTTCGGTTTACACTCGGGGTATCGCTGGATACAATGAATGATGTTTTCTTAGAGTTATGGAACAGTAACATTGCTAAAGTGATACTGAAAGTTACGTGAACGCAACGCACGCATGAAGATTGGAAAACTTTGGTAAACGAGAGCGTCGGAGATCAGAGTTAGGCGGTTTTTTCCGCTAATTTGCTGCTACTACTGCTGATGCTAGAGGTATGTCTTCAAAGCTTTGCCGCTATTCCGCTACACTAGAATGATTGTCCAATAGTCTGTACGCTTATGCCTGTTTTTACGTAAACAAAATATACTGGAATATAAATTTTTGTATAAAAACCTGTTGCATAAAGACTGAAATGCAATAACTATGTCTAATAATGACGCACATGTTATATATTTAACTGCGGCACATTCAGATATAAATTAATCTTTCTATTTTTATTTTTTTCTGTTTTTTACATCATATTATTTGGTTTTTTACGTTTTATTTTGGATTTTTATAACTTTTTTTTTATTATTTAGCTTTATTAAGTTAATTTTATTGCCTTGTATGTGCGAGAAATGCGAAAAGATTATAATTTGTGTCTCTAGCATGTACGTATCTGAGTCATTTCGATTTTAATTTAAAAAATTCGAGAAACTATTGACAGACAACGCCAGTTTCATTCCATAAATATTTTCTACTTTTTCGTATTTCTGTCTTGTCTTGGGTGATCTCTCGCTATTAATTTATAAATATATAAAATTCGTGCCTTTTATATTGCTTTGACAAGGTTTGCCAAAGGAAGGCTTTGTAAGAAAATTAAATAAGGTTTTGATAAAAGCTCAACGAGCGATATCAGGTAACCATCCATTCTTTTTCAGGATGAAATGGAAACGATGCGCCACTCTACGCAGCGAGAGAGAGCGCAACTTTCTTGCCAGTTAGCACAGAAGGAAGAGGAAGTACGTCACTTGAAAGACAAAGTATTTGTATTGGAGCAGAGAATTGCTCTCGAAACAAACGATCAAGTGACTGTCGATGAAAGAATAGCCGATCTAATGCGCGAAAGGACATTGTTGGAAAGAAAGCTTGAAGAGGCGCATCTTCACCTCTCCGATATAAAGACTAGTTGGTCGGGAAAAATCTCCAGCCTCGAGACGCAAGTTGGCAGACTTAGCAGACAAGCTGGTGAAGAGGGACTAGAACGCAGGCGAGTTGAACAAGAAAAGGAGAAGCTTAAACAGAGAATCAAGCAGTTAGAAGCCGAGATAGAAGTGAACAATGTTGTCTTAGCAACGAAAGACGCCAAACTTTTGCGCATGACAGAGGACATCGACGAAATGGCTTTGGAATTAAAAGAGCTCCGAGCCAGCGTTGATGATGAAGTGGATGAATTTAAACGGCAAATTGTGAGTTATCGCGATATGTAGTGACGACACGAAAAGTGTGCATGAGCTAGAGTGTTATCGAAAATTTTTCCAAATTTCAGAAATAGTCGTTTCTAGAAACGTAGATTAAATAAACGATCACAATATTAAATTATCTGTAATATACGAAATTCGCTGTCTGTTGGTCTAAACAATACAATCTATTTTGTTACATTGCGATCTCAAGATGCAATAGATGTATAATGTAGTCTATAACTTTCTAATTCTGACTAAAACCTATAATACATTGACATGTCTGGAGAAATTTTATTGTAATTTAATATTTCTTATTTGACAAATATTGAAAAAAAAGAGATATATGTCTATTGGTTATTTTTAATATGCGTTTATTGGCAAATTAGCAATTTTAATAATTTTTTATTTTATTTTGCAATATCTTTTATATGCTGTTTATTGGTCCATAAAATTATATAAATTAACAACTTTCTTTAGAGAGAAGAAATGTATTTTCATAGCTTTATTGCAATATATTTTTTTGTCAAAAATTATTTCTAATATTTCAAGTCTATAAATTTATTATCAGTTGATAAAACTATTGAATATAATAATCTAAAATGGTTATGGCAAGACAGATGTCATTTAATATAGCATTATATATATATATATATATATATATATATATATATATATATTAGTTTCATAGTTAATTATAATTATTATTTTTTTCTAAAACTAGTTTAATGCTGAGATTTATTGCAGACATATTATGTGTACTAGTGCCATTATTAATTGCTTTCAATTTCTCATAATCATTTTCAATGGAACAAATTAATTTTAATCATATATATTATAAATCAAGCGAATTTACATAAATATAAAATATTTGGCTGGAATTTCCTGCAGTTTCCACGGTCAATCGTTATAAACCTTCATATTATTATATGATACTTCATATATTATATTAATTACACTTTATTTGTTGAATATGATAAAATGGAAGTACGGTATGAATATGGTAAAATGGATATGAATATGTACAACTAGCATCAAATGGTTTTCGCCTTCCTGAAAAATTTGAGTTAGATTTTTTCAAAGTTGGGATGGGGAGAAACCTCTCCGTCTAGGTATTTCCTTAAATTTGCAAATATACAAATAACATAACATTCAAGTTAACAAGAAAAGGGACGGAAGTGTCCCCCTCCGATTTTGATAAGCTTTTAATATGTTATTCTCTAGACAAAACCAAGAATTAAGCTACCGCATATTCGTGCTTTTACGCACTTTTAAGGAGTGAAACACCCCTCAGAAAAAAAT